GGACCCTTGTCTTCTGGTCATTCCTGTTGACATTTGTACTGAGTAAATAATGTGTAGTAAGTAAGTAAGGTAGCCACCTCGGGCTGTGGCTGAATTCCAGAGGCAGGTGGAGGGAGACACATGATAGAGCCTTCCACTCCTGGGCTGTGGTTTGGTGCCTGTACCTGCAATGTACTGGAGGTCCCCAAGCCATTAGTGGGATTGTGTAGCTAAAGGAGCAATTCTCTCTTGGTGTGGCTTGCTTGGTGTCATGGAAATCACAAAACTTGTTCTTCTGGCTGCTGTTTTCCTGATGTGGAAGTTAAGGTGGCACATACATGCTGGTCAGTCCTTGTAAGATACCCTCAGAGGACAGAGGTTCTTTTCTAAAGTAGATCTTCAGTGTGTTTGTGGAGAACAGGTTTTGTCTGTTGTTCAGTGAAACATGTGGATGAGATGTGATTTTTTGTTTGTTTAGAAGAGTTTGTACATCTGTATTCATTATTTTTGTAGTGGATTTGAGTTTCAGAATGCTAGCAAGCTTTGCATGCAGAGCCACAGAGATATTTCAGAGTTTTATTTGTGGTATAGGTCTGCTTGCTTCTTCAGAAATATTAAATTGCATATTCATATATTAAAACAATATTTATCCCTATCTCTACTGAAAAACCCCAGGTGCCCTGGGACAAAAGCATGACCAAGGTACGTGTGTTAGCATCATCTGCAGGTGATGATATCTCTAGTTGTTGTTGTACATCAGAGGGAAGGTCATGGAGTTTTTATCTTTGTGGTGAGTGTTGAAACACAAGTCTTTGGTTTCCAGTCCTGCCTCAGTCACAGCTACAGAGTAGGTGCTGTAGTCTGTTAAGAAATCCAGAGGATGAGGCAACTTCAGGCCACATCAGGTTACATTAAACCCTTCAAGTAGTATGTATCAATCCAATAGTGTGTGGTTTCTACTCCCAGGAGTATCTTCCTGATCTTCCTGCCTTGTAGATTGTCTTTCCTTACCAGCAAAGCCAACATGCAGATTTTGAGGAGTATGGATTATAAACCCTTCTTTTAATGTTGTAACTGTTAGCAGTTCACATTCAAAACACATTCTGTGCAGATACTTTGTGCACTCAGTGGTTTCCAGCACGTGTAAAAGGGACTGGCAGCAGGGGCAAGAAGTTGTTGTGTCTCAGGGATGTTGTGCTAGTCTGCACATTTTTGTGTGGCAGTGTTTTTCTACTTCTGGTAAATGCAGAAAATCCAGCTTTTAGCAAGCAACTTGACTTGAGATCTGTTTTATGCACACTTTTTAAACCCCTCTTTATTCGTTGGCACAGCCAACTATTGAAACAACTTTTCCAAGTCTGGTGGTTGTTTTAAAGTAAGTATCTTGAGCTCTGAAGATTTTGTTTCGTTTCCAAGACTGCACAACAGAGCCCATTCAGAGATAGTACTTTCTAAAAGGTGAAAACACAATTGCTGTTACAATTGCAAACTCTTATTGGGACACAAAGCTCCTGGCTCATTTTACTGTGTTTCCTCAAGTGGTAAGCTGAAGATGGAACCCATTTTGGATACAGTTGATGTTTTTGTGTCCCTTCTAAGCAAAATAAATTACTAGCTGAAAAGCTCTGAATAAGTCCTAGGGGAAAATTTCTTTACCAGAAGTGAGTTTTCTTGCTCCCTTGCAGATGATGATCTTGAAATTTAGAGCTCATTTCAGAGGGATGCTGTTAATTTTCTCCATTTTTGCCCATACCCATCTCTTTACTACCTTCAGTTGCATGTCTTGTGCAGCTACTTGGCAATACCGCTGACTGGAGCATCATTAGGGCTGTTTCAAGAGGATATTTTGGGTGGTTGTTTTTTGTTTTGGTGCAGGCACAATGAAGATAGTAGCATGACTGAGGTGAAATTCTGTGTTGTGATTATTGGGTGATACAAATAGTAGCATCTGATTAGCATGGAGTGCCAGACGTCCAGTGATTCAGAAGTACTCTTTCTATGCCACTAGTATAGAAATCCATTCACAGAACATGCTTTTGCATTTTAGCTGGTGGGGAATGCGTTGAACTTAGTACTAACTAACCCCTTCAACTCTTGGCACTTTTGGAAGAACAACTTACCAGCTACTTTAAAAAGGAGTGTCTGTAATCTTCCACAGTTGAACGACTGTGTGTTTTTTGGGTGGAACTTTTAATGTCAAATCCCAGTACTACTGTGTTGGCCTTGAGCAGAGTTAGACCCAGGAAATAATATGATGGCTAGAGAAAAGGGAAGTGCAAGCAAACTTCTGCTAAGGGTTTTGGGTAGGAGCTGCCAGGTTTGACTCACTGCACCACTCAGCAAACAGCCTGTCCCTGGTGGTGCATTTGCTCTTTCTGAAGAACAAAAAAAGCATAATAAAAGCTGTTTCTCTTCAAGCTAAGCCCTGAAGGAAGTGCTTCTCTTCTAGGTATACTGCAGCATCCCGATGGGACTGTCCTGAAGCAGTTGCAGCCACCACCTCGTGGCCCCAGGGAGCAGGAGTTCTACAACAAGGTGAGGGCCCTGGGCGTGGAGGGCACTGGCTGGCAGCAGGGAAATGCTGGTTGGGCTTCCAGCAGAAGTACTTCTTCAGTGTTGCAGTTGGGAAAGTGCAACCTACATAGCTGAATGGTAGGTCACTGACAGCCCTGTTGTGCTATCTCTGCTCTCCAGCACTTTCTCCTCTTTGAATGTTTGTCCCTGTGCCAGACTTACTTCACTCACAGAGCTGAAGCTTGCTTGTTTGCTCGTGGGACAGCAGGTTTTTCACAGCATCTAAGGTTTGATTGAAGAGCCTTGTGTTCTCTCCAACTACAATGAAAGGGTGGTATGTTTGATCCCACCTTTCTCATCTTGCCAAGTGTCTCAGAATTGGTTGCATCTAAATTTAGTGTGTCTTACACTTCCATCTAGTCTGGTTTATTGCTGGAACTCTTCGCTGTGTTCAAACTGTTCACTGCATTAAAACTCAGCTCCTTTAAAAAGTCCATAAAAAGTGAAACTCTCCTGTTGTTTTAACTTTTGTTGGCTGCATTTTTCCTGTTGCTCATCTTCAGTTTGCTTTATCAGCAACTTTAATAATACAAACCAGAAAAGCTGTTGCTTTTTTGTCTTAGGAGGGCAAACTGTGTTTTCCCCTTTTCCCCTTACCAACCTACTTGCCTGTGGTTGTCCATCAAGTGTTTTCCTATATCAGCTTGATATGTCTTCCTTTTCCATGACTTATCAGGTCCAAAGTACTGTAGAAATCTCCATGCAGGATGAGAGAGGAGTCTTGAGACCCTCTTTGTTGTGTTACTTGGTTTGTGGTTGGTTTTTTTTCCTAGAAGGGTATTAATTAAAGTTACCAAAAGGCCTTAGGTATTTTGTGGAAATGTCTCAAATTAAAACAGACTAAGCAACCTGCTCTAAGCAAACAGTGTGTTTACACACCAGTATTACTTGACAGTTCTCATGATGGGATTGCTAGACAGAACAGCAGCTCTTGAGTTAGTGGGAGCCAGTTAAATCTAGATGTAAATATTTTTCTGAGGTTTCTCAGTGACTGTCATTTAGATGAGGTTAAGAAAGATGCAATCCAGCCTGAGGGGTAGCTATTCTATTCAGTAGAAGGAGAAAGCTTGAAGATAGTCCCCTGTGAGTGCCAGGCTACTTATTCTTCTGTGGAATCCTGAGGTTTTGCTGTGTAAAACGGAGAAGGTGAGAGGAGGAAGCTTAAGCACTGCTTAGACATTAACCATTTACAGCACGAGCTTTTGCCTGTTGCTTAGATTCACATCACAAGCCCTGAGCAAGACCTTGGGCAAAACCTTGGCAAAAAGAGATTTGTATTGGTCCCATTTTTACTGTGCCCTGTCATAGTGGAAGGAGTCAGGTCTCAGTGCTGGTAACTTGATTCAATTATGTCTTCCAGGGCCTTGGTGGGTTGCTTCCAACACTGATTTTTGTGGTTAAAAGCCATGTGGGAATGAGGTTGGGCAATTACTGAAAGATAATGGAGGAAGAGAAAGGTACATGCACAGTTACTTGTGCATGGGCTGGAATGCTTTTTTGTGGGAGAAGGGAAGGAGAGCAAATGCAGCTATGTTACACAGGTGAAGGTCTTGGGGATTTGTGGCTTCTCAATTATTAACTCCTATCATGGTTGCTCTCGGCATGAACCACATGATGTGGGATACAGACACCTGAGCTCTAGTCTGGTTGTTGCAAGGTAAGGATTACTGTGGATTGTGAGGTTCAGCGTAAGGTGCAGTTTCATGTACAGCTTGAGCTGATACACTAAATAGCTCATTGCTGCCGAGAGAGAAGGGCCTTTCTTCCATTTCCTGCCTTTCCCAGTGATGTACTGGTGCTTTTTGGGCAGCAATGAACTGATTTGAAAAGGCAGCAGAACTTCCCTGTGTTGGTAGTCTTCTGTCAACTTTGGTGATTGAATTGATAAGGAGTGGGAACAAGGGCAGTACTGTACTGGCCTGTTCTAGTGACTGAGCTCAACATTTCTTCTGGTCTATAATCAAAATTATTACCTTGGAGTTGGCTAATGAGCCTCCAGAGAATGGAGGAAGGAGAATTTTACTACTTCTTGAGGCAAGGGGTTGTTCTCAAGGCAGTTGGGTACAGGAGATGGTGAGAAACAGTGGAGAAATGAACCAAGGGAAACAAGACTCATGTATCCCAAGCTGTAACTTTGTCAGCTAAACAGCAAATCCATTGATAAGGTCAAACCAGAAGGTTACCCATTAGCACATGTGGATTTATCATGACTTTTTTTTTTTTTCTGCACCTGTTTCTTTCATATGCACTTAAAACTGCTTTGTCTGTAATGACAGATCAGTCACCACTTGCTTTGCATGCCACCTTCCCCTGGCCTGGATTAAGAGCAGCACCCCAGTACCTGGGCCAGGAGCAGGTTGGGGCTTTTACATATGTGTAAAGCAAACTTCCTCAGCTGAAGCAACTGAGAACACTCCTGTAGCTGATGGTAGCAAGAGGATGATGTCCAGTTTCAGCTGGACAGCAGGTACTGCAGGTCTGAGGTAAAGGTGTCTCCCAATAATCAGCAGTGACCAGGGAGCGATGTTACACCATGTAGTCCAAGTGCTCGTGAGATCAAGGTTGCAGGGGATGTGTCATCGTGGAAGATAATAGGACACTAGCAGGTAAATTGGAATATAACCCTGATATATTTAACCTGATACCAGGTAGATACTATCTTCTTTCTGGACAAATCTGTCTTCTCTGAAACAGGCTGCTTCAGTGAATCACCAGGAGTTTTATCCCTTGTGATGGTTGTTTTCTGTTGAGCATAAAGCTGAATGCTGACCAGGAGAGCCCAAACAACACGGGCTTCTGTTTTGGAATGGAAGCTTGAGCAAGACATTGATCTGAAACTGGGACCTATAGATCAGCCTGCTCAGAAGTGGGTGGCAAATGGAAGTTTTGAGGTATTTCACAGGTCGTTGTCAAAGTGGAAAACTGGAAAATCTCTCTACTAGTTCCTACTCAGACCACTAGGTTGTCTTTCTCTTTTCCTGAGAGTGTAGTTTGAGCTCAGCAGTTTAAAAAATAAACACCCTCTAGAGACCAGTGGTCAGTCTTAAGAAATTATTTCACTAAGTAAATCCAAGTTTTATCTCTTCTGGAATAGTATGTGTCATTCTCTACAGCTGGGGAAATGGCTTGCCAGGATTCTGTGTCATGAGGGAGGGGAAAAGCAGAGTATGACAAGATTATTGTGAATATCTTCAATGATAAAATGTAGTAGAAGAATGAATTGTTTGTAGTCATTGTTAATCACTTACTGTGTGTTGCTTAACTTAACCACTGCAGTATGACTTTCCAGTGGTAATGTCTACTTGCTGTTGAGTTCTGTAAATATGAGTAATTATCAAATCAAAATAATATTTCGATTTTGTTCCTGACAACTCTCTTCCTGTAGCAGAGGGCATGAACTTTTACAAACACAGGGTGCATAGCCATGAAGTGTTTTACCAGGTTTTCTGATACCCTTATCTTGATAAATGCTGAGGTTGTTTTTTTTTAACCTTGAACAGCTACAAAATACTTTGTTTTCTGTAGATAGGAGCAGCAAGAGAAGGAAAAAAAAATGGAAGTTGAGAGGTTATGTTTTTTTCAGGACTATCTGCACTGATGATCAGTTGTTTCCATCTAATGGGAATAATTGGTGAGAATGGGTAGGCAGAGACACTCTGGAGGACTGTTTTTAAAGGAGTTTGAGGAGGAAATAGTAAGCAGAGATGTGGAAACAGGAAAATAGTGTTGTTTGAAAGGACAGTATAGTATCTTGTGTACCAGTGACCTGATTCCATTGAAGAAATCAAACTGGTAGAAGGTAGAATGTATTTCTGGTCGGCTACACATGCATGCTAAGGGGTCCACAAAAGTGTCCCAGCAGTTGGCTTCAGCTGCTTTATGCCAGGGCACACTGATACATGCTGAAACTGCTTGATTTAATTCAGCAGTGTTGGGAGAGCCTATGAGCCCTCCTACAGGGACCTTTTCTAGCAGATGGGTTGGGAACTGTCAGAAAAGGACCCTTTGAAAAGGTTAGTGCAGCTGCTGTAGGAGGTAAAACCTCCCTGCTTAGCTCTTGACTCAGACATGCAGGGCTGTACCCCAGAGCACTGTGTGCCAGCATAACTCTCCTGATTTAAGAGCTGTCCTCTTCAACACAGGGTTTTCCTTCACTTGTCACGTCAAGAATGCAGCATTGTAGAAACTACTGTCCTGTTGGTGCCTCAAAGAGGGGGAGGAAGCTGGAATGTCAGGCTGTAAATAGGGCAGCTGCTTTTGTGGGCATGAAAAGATAGAGCTTGGGCTGCAAATACCTGAATCTGAGGAAGAGAGAACTTGCATTTGCAGGTGTGTTTTTAGCAGTAAGGGGTGGAGTGTTTCTTACATTCAGCAGGGCAAAAGAAGGTGGTTGGGCTATGTTGAAGTGGCAGCTCTTTGATTTCTGGTTCCTGACATTGACTCAGTGGGGCTATAAACCTGTTACAGTGTGTACCTGTGCTGAGCACAGCATACTGAAGGTTTTAAGGATGCTAATGCAGGAGCTAATAATCTGAGATTTTATGCTTAATGGATCAATAAATGTTCCTGTAAACTTTTATTTGAGTAGCCCTTCTGCTCTTCTACATTGACAGCATGGTGCTTGGAGCAGTACAGCTTCCCCCCTCATCCTGCCTGCTGTCCTGTCCTGAAGAAGAAGCTCTTGCAGCATGGACAACTTCCAGGATTTACCTTTTTTTTACCTCCCCCATTTTCCAGTGGCTGCATGTCAGAATTGTCATAGCTGGTTCTTATGATACAGCCAGGTGGTGGCTCCAAATAATAAGCCTGCAATATCACAAGGTTTCCAAGGCTGTTGTAAAGCAAGTCTTACTCTTATTCTCAGATACCCTTATCCCAGAGGGCAAGGGTAATTTTGGGAGGTTGGAATGAAAAGGATTTCAGGGTTCTCCCAGTTGCAGCTCAGGCCACTTTCTACCTCT